GAGGAATGAGCCCATGGAATGCGCTGACAGATCATCTGGTGTGTTAAAAACGGACGCGATTTGCAGTGTACGAGTCTCTGATTCCGCTGATAACCAGGAGCTGAACTGATCAGGTGTCTCAGCGTGAGCTGATCCCAAACAGGGCAAGTACCCGGCAAAGTCCAGTGGCCCCATCCCTCCCCAGCCCCGAGGGTCCCTCAGTCCTCGTCCCTGACGTACTGCCCTGCCTCCCAGCGCTGGGCCATGACGCTCTTGTGACGAATCACTCGGGTGCTTTCCACGACCTAAAGAAACCAGAAAGCAACGTTATCTTTTTATAAAGATATTTTTAGAAACCATTTTTTTTGCACAACTTGCCCTCCCAGCCAGAAGCCCCCCCCCACCTTTGGATTAAATACACCTGACAGCGACCGCCACGCGTTCTGCCCAAGGCGATGCCCACCCAAGGCGATGCCCACCCAAGGGGTGCCTGAGACCCCCGTCCATCTTGTCAGCACCAGGACCAGGGGGTGAGGGGATCCCCGTGGGGCGGGAGGAGTCAGGGCAGCGCAAGCAGAGCCCTCGGATGTGTCAAGGACTTTACCTCGGTGTTGATCCTGTCCACGGGTTCAATGCCTGCGTACTGCGAAAAGGGGGAGAGGGTTCAGTCAACAGCAGCCTCGCAGGGACACGGCGGATACAGGGAATGGGGGGCCAGGGGGAGGTGAGACTGTGTGTGCAGGTGTGTCCTCGTGCCCTCCCCACAGTGAGGGGACAGTTCAGGCCAGGAGCCCCCTCCTCACGAGGAACCTGCTGCTCCTCTCCAGTCCCACCCAGTGCTGGCACCACCGAGCAGCAGGACACTGTCCTGGGGGCTCCGCATGGCCCCTTGCTGGTTCCACCACCACCAGGTCTCCCACTGAGCCCAGCAACTGGGCCTCCAGCTCTATGTAGGAGCCAAGAGTGGCCACCTCCATCCCCAGAGCCACCAGCCTTCTCCCGGGCTCCAGCCCCCCGACCGCATGCTGCCCGCTGGGCACATTCACCTTTCCATCCTCCTTCACCCTCCTCCTCCGCTCCTCGAAGGGGCTGGAACGCGCCGAGTCGGGGGTGAGGGTCTCCGCGCTGCCCTGGGCGGGACTGGTCAGTCTCAGCGGGGTGAAGGACGATATCAGCCCCAGGATCCCCACCGGGTGTGAGGTAGGAGTGGAGACTGGAGACCCGGACACTGAGTAGCTGCCGCTGACACCTGAGGCAGCTTCAAGAGAAAGAGCTGTCAGGGGTGCGGGACACCAGGATCGCTCCCCGGGGCTGGGGTACCCACAGGACAGCAAGGCTCCTGCCCAGACCGGCCTCGGCAGGTCCAGCAGGTTCGGTCACGGCTGTGACCCCGTGTCTGGGCTTCAGCCAGGGACTGTCAGGAGCAAGGGAGGGGAAACGCATGAGCTGGGCACTTCTGGGCCCTTCCAGCACTGTTTGCTGCTGTAACATGACCCAAAGTCATCAAAATCTGAGCAGCTCTGGAAGCAAAAGCCATGCTGCTCTCATGGAGCCTGTCCCGCATCAGCAGCAGCAGTTCCCTACATCTCCCCCAGCAGCTGGGCTGGTCCAGCTGGATCCAGGGACTTCACGCAGCACTGCTGCTGCCTGACCACAGGATCCTGCCCAAGGGGATTTCTCTGAGGACAATTTGCTGCCAACACCCAGGAGCCCTTACAGGCATCTCGGCAAAACCTTCCAGGGAGGAACTTGAACCCCTCACCTGCCACCAGACTCTCCCAGGACAGGACTTGATGCTTCCACCCATAATTCTGTCCCCTCGGTCCTTGCTCTCACAGAGAACCCAGGTCACCTCTGGATGCCAACTGTGGAGGCATCTCACACAGACTCAGGGTACCGGCCGTGAGGGATTCCCGTGCCCGGGAGAGGCACCGGCCTGGGCGGGAAGGTCCCTTGGGACGGGCACCCCGCGGTGCCACTCCTGTCCCCTCTGATGGCTCCTGCTGCGACCCAGGGCCACAAGGAACCAGAGAGCAGGAGTGATGCCCGTGGCAGGTCTGGCCCCGGGAATGAACCCTGCCCCATCCCAGCCCGCCATTCCCCTCCTCCCCTTCCCGGAGCTGTGCCGTGAGCGGGAGCCCTCCTGGGGAAAGTCATCGCTGCCGACCAGGGAGGGGCCATCTACCAGCTGCCGCCGCCGCCGCTGCTCCTGCAGCTCCTCTTCCCTCTGCAAGTCGCTCCTGATCTCCTCCTCGATCAGCGCCGATGTCTGGGGCTTCCAGGTCCTCAGCTTGTACTGCTCCTCCCGGCCGTCCTCCCTCCGCAGCGGAGTCTGCGTCCCCATGGCGTCCACAAAGGAGACCTTGGGCTTCCAGAAGGAGAAGGAGAAGTACTCTCTGGGCACAACGGTGCTGGCGGGGCTCGGGGTGGAGCTGGGAAGCCTTCCTCCCCAGGAATCCTCACTCCCCTGTTTGCTGGAGCTGGCGGAAATGCGCTGGGACACGAGGGGCTGGTCCTGGCTCTTCCCGCTGGCGGTGAAGCGCGGCTGGGACAGCTGGAAGTGTGTGATGCTCGTTGTGTAGCTGGGAAGACTTTTCCCACCCCTGGTGTTGTCTGTGGGGCCGGGGCTCATGGGCTGCTCCACCACAAACTCATTAACCCAGCTCCTCCGCTCGTCTGCCTTCCTCGTGGGGGTGGGCTTCTGCACAGGGGCTTCCTCCTGCTCAAACACTCTCCTGCGCTCGTCCAGCTCCTGCTGCGTCCCCCTGTCATACGTCCCCAGCAGCCTCCCCTGCCTCTTCAGATCTTCCTCACGCTTGGTTTCCTGCTCGATTTCCCTCTGGACATAAAGAGAAGCACGGCCTTTGTCCTTCCCTTTCCTGCCTGGGCCAGGAGAGGTGTGCATGGAGAGGAGAGGCTTGGTCTGGATCTCCACCAGCTCGCTGCTGGAAGTCAGCCGCTGGATCCCCCTCTCCTTCCAGAGGTTCTCCTCCCTCTCCATCGCCATGCGGATCTCCCGCTCGATGGGCGTCTCGTTGCTGATCTTCCTCTCCTTCTCCAGGCCGTTGCTCCCAGCCCTCAGATCCACAAGGCCGTCGATGACCTCGTTGGATGTGCTGCCGTCGCTGGCGTAGCCTGCATTGGCTTCATTATACATCTCACCCAAGCCGGAGTCCAGGTCCTCTCTGGATGATGTTTTAGTCAAGCCAGACATTTTCCCAGTGGGATATGACCTGTCAGTGTCAGCCCTTCTGGGAGTATAAGCCTCGTCCTTCAGAGGTGTCTTGTAGGACACACTATAAACCTGATAAATGGTCTTGTCCGTCTTGTCCTGGCCGGATGCACCATCATTACCGTAACCTCTCACACCCCTTGTAGCCACCTCAGGACTGTGCCACTCTTGCCTGGAGACTTTGGTCATTGACTCTGGCTTTGGAGACATGGCTTGTTGCCCTGGGCTAAAAAAAGAGCCCGGGTTGGTCTTCTCCAGCATCAGGAACTGCTGCCGAGCAGCAGAGAAGTTGATCTGCTCCGTGTCGATATTTTCAGGGTCAACAGGCGTCGCTGCCCTCCCCAAGGAAGGCTTGTCAAAGCTCATGGCAAAGCTGGTGGTGAAGCTGCCCATGTGCCTGCCCTCACCCTGGCTGCTTGTGCCAGTGTTTATGGAGCTCAGCTCATCCATGGAGCTCCACCTCTCGGCCGTGGTAGAGCTCTTCCTCATCACCTGGCTCCGGATGATCTCCCTCCTCTCATCCTCCAGCTCCCTGGCTTTCTCAGGTGAGATGTTTGGTGGAGGGACCCTGAACTCCTCCAGCTCATCATCATCGTAAAGCTTCGAGGGTTTCCTCTCGCCTCTGTAAGCCCTGAGGTCGTACAGGCTTCCCGACCTCACCACCTCCAGCTTGGACTCCCTATCTGGGGACGGGGTCCAGACATCTTTCCCACCCTCCAGGAAATATGAGGGCGACTTCGACCTCGTTTTCCAGCCGTAGCCATTTTCCACCCTCTGGCTGCTGTGTTGGACGGAGCCAAACACGTCATCGTCGCTGTCGGCCCTTCGCTCTGCAAACGAGCCAGCTTGGTGGGCATCGCTGTAGTCCTGCTTGTGCGAGGTCTGCGGGAGCTGGAAGACCAGGTGCCTGGTGACTCTGTCCATCTCCTGGGGAGAGTTTCAACCTTCTGCCAACCTCACCTTGGGCTGGGGATGCTTCTCAGCTTTGAGGTCGCCCTCAGGTTTGTGCCTGGGCTGGGGACAAGGGGCAGGACCCGGCTGGGGCTGCAGGAGAGGGGAGAGCAGCCGTTAAGAGCAGCAGGAGGGGAGATCGGAGC